ACCAGGCAGTAGAACTAGGCTGGTGATGTGACTTTTCTCTGCTTTCATTAAACCAGCGTTTCTCAACTTTTTTCAGCCACAGCAGCCTTTATTAAAAATACGCAAAATCCTGAGGTATCCCAGTCCAAAAAAACTTAAGTATTGCTTTTTAATGGGAAATATGAAGCTAGGATGTACACAACCGCTTTGATGAAATTATCTTTAAACCATAAACCCCCTTCACATCAGAATCCCCCTATACATGAGAGCCCCCAATCACATCAGAGTATCTGCATGACAAAGTCCATCCATCACATCAGAGTCCCCCCATTACTAAGTCCTCTTTATCACATCAGAGTCCACCAACAAAGAAACGCCTAAATCACTAAGTCCACCATCCATCATAGAGTCCCCTAATCACATAGCACCCCCAATCACACAGCTCCCTTCCATTTGAGTCCAGCTGCACAGTGGAGGGCAGAAGGTGGAGCAGGTCTGGAGGAGGTGGACTTCTATTCTCTCCTGAATGCTGGAGGAAGCCCTTTGTCCTTTCTGCTCTGGATGCATAGCCATTGTGTGGACAGGCCACTCACCAACATCATACCAACAAATGACCCCACACATCCTGTCCCTAAAGCAGTAATCTCAACTGCAGCCCTTTGTTTACCCTTGTCCAGCCTTTGTGGCACCCCCCCCCCCCCCCACTGAAAACAACGATGGGGCGCTATTGCTCCCACTAACACCAACGACGGGGCGCTATTGCTCCCACTAACACCAACAATGGGGCGCCATTGCTCCCACTAACACCAACAATGGGGCGCCATTCCTCCCACTAACACCCAAAAATGGGGCACCATTCCTCCCACTAACACCCAAAAATGGGGCACCATTCCTCCCACTAACACCCAAAAATGGGGCACCATTACCTCCCACTAACACCCAAAAATGGGGCACCATTCCTCCCACTTACACCCAATAAAACAACCAACAATGGGGCACCAATTCCTCCCACTAACACCCAACAATGGGGCACCATTCCTCCCACTTACACCCAACAATGGGGCACCATTCCTCCCACTAACAACCAACAATGGGGCACCATTCCTCCCACTAACACCCAACAATGGGGCACCATTCCTCCCACTAACACCCAACAATGGGGCACCATTCCTCCCACTAACACCCAATAATGGGACACTATTCCTCCCACTAACACCAACAATGGGGCACTATTTCTTCCACTAATACCAACAATATTGCATTATTCCTCCAACTAACACCAATGATGGGGCACTATTTCCCTCACTGATACCAGTGATGGGCACTATTTCTCTCACTGATACCAATGATGGGGCACGATTTCTCTCACTGATACCAATGATGGGGCACTATTTCTCCCACTGATACCAATGATGGGGCACTGTTTCCTCCCACTGATACCAATGATGGGGCACTGTTCCTCCCACTGATACCAATGATGGGGCACTGTTCCTCCCACTGATACCAATGATGGGGCACTGTTCCTCCCACTGATACCAATGATGGGGCACTGTTCCTCCCACTGATACCAACGATGGGGCCATTGCACTGTTCACCATCCTACTAACACCAACAATGGGGCACCATTCCTCCCACTAACACCCAACAATGGGGCACCATTCCTCCCACTAACACCCAACAATGGGGCACCATTCCTCCCACTAACACCCAACAATGGGGCACCATTCCTCCAACTAACACCCAACAATGGGGCACCATTCCTCCCACTAACACCCAACAATGGGGCACCATTCCTCCCACTAACACCCAACAATGGGGCACCATTCCTCCAACTAACACCCAACAATGGGGCACCAGGGTGGATAAAAATCTATTATAGAAAAAAAAAAAAAAAAAAAAAAAAAAAAAAAAAAAAAAAAAAAATCGGATTTTTTTTTATTTAAATCAGATTTTTGAATAAAATGCTTTTTGAGGAAAATATATTACCATCCAAAGGTTATTCCATCATGAAATAAAGATTAGTTTTTTAATTATGTAGAATAAGGCTGTATATGTTTAATTTTTTTGGTAAATAAATTCCATGAATCCATTCACAATGTCATGCTCTTCCAGAGGTTTTTGTAAGATTATTGGGCAGTTTCTCTTCCTACAAGATATTATCACAGATGCTTGGTTTACTTTTGCAGTTCTCAAAACTGAATTTGACTCAGCGGAGATCACATGCCTCTTCTTCACAGCAAAAATGTTAGAACATGAACACAGTTAAGAAAAAACCTTAATCCTAACTTCTACAAACCTATGAATACAGAATCAACCCTTCAGTGCTAAGTTTCAAGAAGTTCAGTGAATAGAATAGGAACAATATTTTTCTGATTGTTTGGAGTGGAATAGATCTGCACAAGAAGAAAGTGAAACGAAGTGTGAGGAGGAAGGGGCTGACAGTCTAAGTTTCTTAAAATATATATATTTTGTTTAGCCAAATTAGTTAACAAACATGGATGTTTGTTTAAGCAAATCACATATGCTGGAATGTTATTGTTTCAGTTGAATAAATCTATTTAAATTGTTATTAAGGTAATGATTATTTTTCTCCTTCCTAAGTACAACAGAAAAGTTGTCCAAATATGAATGATTAATCTATTAAACTGGGGATAAAAAAACTAATATGAAAAGTTGTTATTCTAAAAATCTTCATCTACTTGCATATTAAAGTTATACCAGCAAGAATTAGTCTTTATGTAGAAAACTATGATTTAAAATCAAGCCTTACTGACTAGTGATTTAAATCGTGATTTAAATCGTGATTTAAATCAGTTTGATTTAAATCAAATCCACCCTGTGGGGCACCATTCCTCCCACTAACACCCAAAAATGGGGCACTATTCCTCCCACTAACACCAACAATGGGGCACTATTTCTTCCACTAATACCAACGATCTTGCATTATTCCTCCAACTAACACCAATGATGGGGCACTATTTCTCTCACTGATACCAATGATGGGGCACTATTTCTCTCACTGACACCAATGATGGGGCACTATTTCTCTCACTGACACCAATGATACTATTTCTCTCACTGACACCAATGATGGGCACTATTCCTCCCACGGATACCAATGATGGGGCACTATTCCTCCCACGGATACCAATGATGGGGCACTATTCCTCCCACCGATACCAATGATGGGGCACTATTCATCCCACTGACACCAATGATGGGGCACTATTCATCCCACTGACACCAATGATGGGGCACTATTCCTCCCACTGATACCAATGATGGGGCACTATTCCTCCCACTGATACCAATGATGGGACAGTAATAATTTCTCCTAATACCAAAGACGGGACATAGTTTACTCTCACTGATGCCAGGACATTTTCTACTCCCACTGGTCATGGAATAGACTATACATGAGAATAGACAGTGAAGGAGCAGCAGATAACAGGTGAGCTCATCCCTCTGTTCTCTCCTTCTACCAGCTTGTTCTGTTTCAGCACAATGTGCACTGCCGTGCACCTTATAGACCCATAGGCTATCTCCCACTCTCCCAGTCTGAGTGCTGCAATTACAAGAGCCGATATCAAACTATATGCAAGTATATTACTTTGGGTTTTATTTATATCTGCCTGAAGTACAGCTGTAGCTTACATTATCTCCTTCAAGCAAAGCTGAAACACATGCCTAGAGAATTCTCAGACAGAATTATTACAGGGATTCGTACGTGCTGCAGTGTGCATATAATAAAAAACGCTATGGAAAATATTCATCATAAAGAAATTACACCACTGAGAATGAACCCAATGTGAATTGTAATGACACACAAAAGTGAAGCAGTTTAACACACTCAATGAAACTAAGGGCTTAAAATTATTTTTGGAGCTGAAGATACCATTGAAGGTCAGTCAACTGATTCCCCACTATTCTGTGCAGAGGTGTAATATATCACTGAGATGCCCACAACTATTCCCCAGAGAAAACAGTCCTACATATGACACATTCTCCTTCCACAGTGACCTCTGTGAATTGTATTTCTTACAGCAAAATTCAGAAGAGATCAAATGAATAAGGTCTACAAAATACATCCTTTAAAGAAGAATTATCAATATAACTTCATCCTTGTTGCATCCCTCAGAGGACCAAGTGCATGTCCAGTTTAGAACTACGCTTTCATTGGGAAATAAAAGAACTGCTTCTATGTGTTCTGTTTCTGTTAGCTGTCAGAACCACCCTAGGCTAAAGCCCAATATATGGGTGTTCTCTCAACCCATCCTATCACCCACCTATCATCTTCCTTTCGTTGTACCCTGTAGCCCTGTGGCTGATCTTCGAAGCAACTCTGCCCACATGCTTCCATGTCCTGCTTCCCGTTGACAGGCCCCTTTCTCCCTGGGGTGTAGAACAACAAGCACTGTCAATCCCCACCACGCTATTACTCAGGACCTCATTAGTTATTCATCTCCTATAAGTTTTTCAGGCGGACCTGATGTGGACAAGACATGTCCATTTATAACCGCCTACATCCACTCCCATAAGGCCTAGTTTACACTGGCATTGAAAGCAGGTATTTGAGGGGCATTTTTAATGCCCCTCAAACGCCTATACAAATAATACTATGTGCACACAGTGCTGTTCACATGATCAAAACATGAAGCGTTGGCATTGCGTCGCTTCAATATTGAAGCCTCATGTCGAGTCTGGAGATGTTTGAAGTCTTTCAATCCCATTCTAGTCTATGGTGACGCTCCACAGGCGTTTGCAGTGCAGTTGCGACGCATTAATACCATTACAGTTTATTATAGGCGTTTGAGGTGCAGTTTTAAAGCTTATATAAAACATGTCAAAACTGCGCATAGAGGGCGTTTGGAGAGCGTTTTTAATGCTTTCAAAACCCCAATATTAAAGCTCATTAACGCCTGTCTTAAAGCCCATATTAACGCTATAGGGGTGTTTTTGAAGCGTTAGAAATGTAGTCAATTGTGAACAAGCCCTAAAAACAGAAAATGGGGATTCGCTCCCCTTCCATCTAGCGCATGGGTGCCAAACCGGCGGCCCTCCAGCTGTTGCCAAACTACAAGTCCCATGAGGCATTGCAAGATTGACAGTTACAAGCATGACTCCCAAAGGCAGAGGCATGATGGGACTTGTAGTTTTGCAACAGCTGGAGGGCCGCCAGTTTGACACCCCTGATCTAGCGGATCGGATGGCAGTCAGGTGTAAACAGACAGGTGGTCCGTTTACATCCGACCACCCCATAGTGGGGAGGGAGCTGTGTCTGTGTTTGCTCTGCATAAGCGGACAGGGTTTGCTCAGCAGGGAACAGTGGACAAGTCCCCTGCTAAAGCAAGTGAGAAAGGGGCCTAACTGGTTTTTTAAACCATTACATCAACAGGTTTAGTTTTACTTTACCAGTTTAAAAAAAAAAAACAAACAGTTGAATTCCCAGCATGCCATAAATAATAACAGTCAAGACAGGCAAGAAAACTGGAAGTGACGGGGTCAGGTCCTGCAAAACAAGAAGTATTTTAGCAGGAAAAAATAAAAAAAAAAAAAAAGGTGTGTTTGGGTGGAAAATGATAAAAAGTGATTCAAAAGTTCACTTTAAATGGCCCATCACAGAAAATTATAGAAAAAGAAAGCATATGTTTTGGAATTTTTAAATTAATAAAACATTTTAAGAATTGTTTAATAATGTTACAGTTTTATAGAGAAATAAATACTTTCCATGTATTCCTGGATATGTCAAACATTATATAGGGGCCTTAGGGTCCAGCAAGTCCTCTATGGTCCGTTTGGCACTATGTGAACCATCTCAGTATCCTGGAGTCTTTCCTAATGACAATGACATCAGCTGATTAACAGGAGATTCCAGGATGGGCTGGATACAAGCTCACTAATGATGCGAAGTATTGCCATCAATACACATCAGATATGGGAGGGGGGTAAATAATCCACCGTAATTTAGAATTCAGTCATTGCCTGTGGGGAGCGAGCGGGTGTTGGCTTGGCTTTTCACCATCTGAAAAAGAGTTTTCAGCTGGATAGGATTTGCAAGGTACACTGGGATGGGCAGATTTTCAGTATCCGGAGGTCATTTGTCATAGAGGGCACGGGGTGGAGAGAATTACTACTCACCCTTTACAAGGACAGAAATATTTGAGCTGTCATTGGTCACTTGATTTGTAAAACAGCAGCTGTCATCCTGATGCTGACTTCAATACTGGCAAAATGAATGACGTGCATGATGGTAGTTTGGGTTTTACTGGCTTCATGCTTAATTTGAGGTCAGAGACCAAGCTAGTGAAGCCAACATCCAATTAGCTCTCATGCTGGGAAATCTAAATGTGATCTATCCATCTGTCCACGTTCATATCTAACAAAAGGCCCATACCATTATGTTTTGTAAAAATGACTTCTTAAAGCTGAACTCTAGGAAAGGAAAAAGAAAAAGAAGGAAAGAGAGAAAGAGAAAGAGAGAGAAAGAGAGAAAAGAAAGAGAGAAAAAGAGAGAGAAAGAGAAAAAGAGAGAGAAAGAGAGAAGAGAAAGAGAGAAAAGAGAGAGAAAGAGAAAAAGAGAGAGAAAGAGAGAAAAGAGAGAGAGAAAGAGAGAGAGAGAGAGAGAAAGAGAGAGAGAAAGAGAGAAAGAAAGAGAATGAAAGAGAAAAAGAGAGAGAGAGAGAGAAAGAGAGAGAGAAAGAGAGAGAGAGAAAGAGAGAGAGAAAGAGAGAGAGAAAGAGAGAGAGAAAGAGAGAGAGAGAGAGAGAGTAGAGAGAGAGAGAGAGAGAGAGAGAGAAAGAGAGAGAGAAAGAGAGAGAGAAAAGAGAGAGAGAAAATTGAGAGAGAGAAAGAGAGAGAGAAAGAGAGAGAAAGAGAGAGAGAGAGAGAGAGAAAGAGAGAGAGAGAGAAAGAGAGAGAGAGAGGTGAATGGGCCCCAAGTCTACTTCCGTCTGTTTTCACCTGGTGATCTGGCCAGTACACACCTCCTGTATTAGGCCTAGTTCACTCTGCTTTGAAAGCAGGCGTTTGAGGGGAGTTTTTAATGATCCTCAAACGCCTATAGAAATGATACTATGGACAGCACACAGTGCCATTCACATTATCAAAACATGAAGTGTTAGCGTTGCTTCAAAATTGAAACCTCATGTTGAGTCAGGAGGAGTTGAAGCATTTCAACGTCTCCCATTCAAGTGACGCTCCTCAAATGCCCCGGCAGGCATTTGCGGGACGTTTGCGGCGCATTAAAACCATTAGAGTTTATTATAGGCATTTGTGGTGTGGTTTTAAAGCATGTAAAAAGCCTCCAAACCGCGCATAGGGATTTTGGGCAGTGTTTTTTAATACTGGTAAAACGTCCATGATAATGCTCATTAACGCCTGTCTAACGCCCATACTAATGCTATAGGGGTGTTTTTCAAGAGTTAGAAGTTTAGTCAAGTGTGAACATGCCCTTAGAGTGCCCTCACTCTGAAGGAGCACAGGGGGCACCTTTGGACACCAATATTGTCAGTCTGTGAGGAGGGGAGTGTTAAATATACTAGCAGATTTAGATACACTAACAGATTGAAGCTAAACTCCAGCTCACACATTTTTAGGCAGTTACAAACTTTTTTTTCTCTCTTTTGGGATAAATAGTTCACATAAATAAAAGCTGACCATTGTAGACACCCCTGTCAGTTGTAAATGGCTACATCTACAGGACAGCTTGTTCTGTTGAAAAACTACAGACTTACAGGCCGAATCACCAGCTGAAACAAAGGGAAGGAAAAAAAAAATGAATGCAGCCATCACATCTAAGAATTAGTAAACGGCAATATAATGAATTGCATTGGGTTTAATACTGCTTTAAGGCCACTTTCATACTGATTCATGGCAAAAACTCATAGCAGTATTTTGCAGCACTTTTGGTGCATTTTTTACAGGACATAACCACATTAAAAAACGCAAGGCGGGTGCATTCTTGATGTGTTTTTTTGCCATGTTTTCCATTCATTTCAATGGGGAGGTGCGTTTTTTTTTTTTTTTACTGCACCAAACCAGCATCACAAATGCAGCAAGCAGGATTTAAAAAAATGCAACAGACCTGCAAGGGATCTCCGGTCTTTCTTGTTTTACTTCCGCTTTTGCAGTAACAATCAGAGTGAAAGCAGCAGAACTGCTTATTTATGTCTAGTACCAGGTAGTTTTACTTACCTGAACCTCCATGCTGCTAGACCGGTCCCCGCAGCCTCTTCTCCTCTGTGCTCTAGTGGTCCAAGGTCATCTGACAACATCAAGGTCTGATGACAGTCCAAGGGACAGCACAATGCCAAAGTGTAGATAAGAGCTGTCTGGTGCAGGAGTGGATAGTGAAAGTAATTTTCCCATCCCTTAAGCTGGCCATACATGTGTAGATTTTCAGATTAGAATGTTTGTAAGAAAAGTCGTACAAAAATTTGTAATTTCGGAAAGATAACCACATACACTGACCGAAAATTTGTTTGATCAAGAAACATTTTCCTTCCTGCCCCTTCGAATTTTCCCATCACTGCTGTCGAAAACGAATATCAGTTTGACCCCAATAACGATTAGAAAATCAAACGAATATTCTTGAAACTAAAATTCTTGAACGAAAATCTATACATGTATGGCCAGCCTTAGAATGAAACACAAATAATCTTTGCAGTTTGAGTGCAACCTCACTGCAAGGGAGGATGTTATGTTTTCATGGAGTTGGGAATTAATACAATGTATTTTATGTATATATTTTGTATATTAAAAGAGAAGCAAGGCCTAAAGCTTTTTTTTTTTTTATACCATACTTTTCTTGTGGATCACAGAGGTGCGCTTGCTTTTGCTCTCCTATGACCCAGAGTCAGCTAATAACGGACAATTGCCCACTATCAGCTGCCGGGGATGAGCCACTTCAAACTCTAGAACATGGTGTCAAACTGGGGGACCCTCAAGCTGTTGCCAAACTACAAGTCCCATGAGGCATTGCAAGATTGACAGTTACAAGGATGACTCCCAAAGGTGGAGGCATGATGGGACTTGTAGTTTCACAACAGCTGGAGGGCCACCAGTTTGACTCTAGAAGGATCATGATAACCCTTTCAGGATCCACCCAGCCGCCTGACTGACAGCTGGCCACACCTCTCAGCAGGCATCTGAGACTTGGAGCCAACTCTGCCCACCCCCTCCTCACCAGTTTGACACCCCTGCTCTAGAAGGAACCTGATCCCTTTCGGGATCCACTCAGCTGCCTGACAGCTGGCCACACCTCTCAGCACACAGCTGAGAGTTGGAGCCAGCTCTGCCCGCCCCCTCCCCAGCCTGACACTCCAGTGACCACTGGAAGAGCAGACAGGAGAGCAGTGACTGACAGTCACCGCTCCCTGCAGGCCGAGAGCTGAGTAATCAATGGTCATGTGACTGCTCAGTTCTCGGTTTTAGAAGACGTGGGACAGCTACATAGCCGTGAGTATGAAAGTCCCCCCACTTTCCTTTAATGCATGATGGGCAAAGCAAGGTATAGAAAAATATGTTTTAAAGGGCCCATTAGCAACTTGCGTGTCGTGGTTCGCCGTAGTATAGAATGTCAGTATTGATTTTGCATCAAAAACATGTATAACATGATGTGTTAGCATTGGCTATGGCTGTTAACCCTCTCCACTCCAAATTCTAAATTTAAACTGGAAAACATGCATGTCAGCAAAGGAAGCGCATGCTGATGCATGAAAACGCTCCTGCCCATAACTACAAAGGAATAAAAATGCACCCCTACACACACAAAGATCTAAACTGAATTCAAGGTCACAAGAAGAAGGGACACTGAGGATTTATGTGAGCAGGCCTCGACATTCTACAAATAGCACTATTGATCTCCCATCCCCCACCCTGGATGTATCCATCGCTATAAATTTACGACAGACAATAAATCAACATACAGCAATGTATTCACAAAACAAAAAAAAAACGGACATACTTAGTTCGCAATTCTACATATTCCTGTGTGAATGAATGAAAAGGATTTGTATCAGTATGTGAAAAAAGAGGACCTGTATGCCCAGACAGTCACAGTGACAGCAGCATCACTGCAGAACTGGCAGACAAACAACTCCAGCCGCAGCCATGACTGCAGTGCTGACCAGACCCCATCCATCTCCCTCTGCAGACTGGGCTGGTGCAGGGAAATATGGAACAGCACCGATCTCATCACATCTCATGCTATGACCTCTGGGGGCTGATGACAGCTGTAGTGTCAGAGGCAGGAGCTGCCCAGCATACATGGTTATTGATGGTCTCCTCCCTCCTCCCTACAATAAACAGATCCAAGGACACGACTGTCTGTAGGAGGATCTCCTGGTGGGAGACGTAGAGGAGATGCTGCAATGATTGTGCACCAGCAGGCAAGATGGAAGATGGGTGTTACTGAGCATGCACTGTACACCCACCGATCTGATCACTGAGCATGCACTGTACACCCACCGATCTGATCACTGAGCATGCACTGTACACCCACCGATCTGATCACTGAGCATGCACTGTACACCCACCGATCTGATCACTGAGCATGCACTGTACCGATCTGATCACTGAGCATGCACTGTACACCCACCGATCTGATCACTGAGCATGCACCGTACCGATCTGATCACTGAGCATGCACTGTACACCCACCGATCTTGATCTGATCACTGAGCATGCACTGTACACCCACCGATATGATCACTGTACACCCACCGATCTGATCACCGAGTATGCACTGGACACCCACCACCGATCTGATCACCGAGCATGCACTGGACACATTGCACCTACCCCCCTCCCCATGATCACGTACCTTGGGGTCCTTCTCGTAGTAGTACTGCTGGGTCCGGATCCATCTGCCCACCAGGTGGTCCCGCACAGTGTGTGCCAGGGCGAAGTAGTAGTCCCTGGGGGTGGAAACGTTCCGATCCTTCACTAAGGTGAAGTGTAGATGTCTATTGAAGCTCTTCCTGACCTCAGACACATCGCCCAGCCCGGCGATGCCCCGCACACTGATCTGCTTCCTCTTGTCGGAATCGGACAAGGGGACGGCCATGGTTGGTCTATGGGGGGTGAGAGATCTGCTGGCAGCGGGGGTGTCAGGATAGAATGCTGCTGGATGCTGGATCCGGAGAGCTACAGGACTCCGCCTGACGTCATGGTCATGTGACCCCCGGGTGGGCGGGGGCTGGGAGCCTGTCCTGGCGGATGATGGAGAGGGGAGGGTGCTGCCCTAGGTTCAGTGTGTGATGGCATGAGGTGCCAGCTGCCGCCTCATCTCTTTAAAACCGAATACGTATTAATTACACAGCTTCTGGGGCTGATTAAGGTGGTCATTAACCACTAGCCTACAGGGCACTTATACCCCCTTCATGTCCAGGCCAATTTTCAACTTTCAGCATTGTCACACTTTGACAATTGCGCGGTCATGCAGCACTGTACCCTTATGACATTTTTTATCATTTGTTTGTGATAGAGCTTTATTTTGGTGGTATTTAATCACCTCTGGGTTTTTTTTTTATTAAACCAAAAACCACTGAAAATTTTGAAAAAAAATTTTTTTTCTTTGTTTCTGTTATAAAATGTTGTAAATAAGTGATTTTTCTCCTTCACTGATGTGCGCTAATGAGGCTGCAGTGATGGGCACTGATGAGACACTGGTAGGTGGCACTGATGGGCACTGAAAGGCAGCACTCATATATGGAACTGATAGGCAGCACTGACTGGCACTGATAGGCGGCACTGACTGGCACTGATAGGCGGCACTGATGTGCACTGATAGGCGGCACTGACTGGCACTGATAGGCGGCACTGACTGGCACTGATAGGCGGCACTGACTGGTACTGATAGGTGGCACTGAAAGGCAACTCAGATGGGCACTGATATATGGCATTGATGTGCACTGTAGGCACTGATATGTGGCATTGATGGGCACTGGCAGGTGGCATTGATGAGCACTGACAGCTGGCATTGACGGACACTAACAGGTTGCACTGATGGGGCTACACTGATGATCAGTGTAGATGTCCGCACTGAGGAATGCCGATTACCGGCTCTCCTCTCCTCACGAGCTGTCAGTGTGACAGCTCCTGAGGAGAGGACTGTCCGGAAACCAGCATTTCCTTATTTACATGCGATCAGCTGTAATTGGACATAGCTGATCACATGACAAGAGTTGACGTCTTCGGCTCTTTCCGTTGATCGGTGATCTGCTGTGTCCAAGGGATACAGTGCACCAGCGATCGCCATGCTGCGCACTCCCGGAGCCGCACATGCGCGGTTAGAGTGGGAGGATGGAATTTCCTTATATGGCGGGCGGGGAAGGTGTTAAACTCACTCAGCGCCTTCTCTGCATTAAATCAGCCTCAGAACCTGTGTAATTATATGTGTTTGGGTTTAAGGGGATGAGGGGGCAACCCTAGTGCCAGGTCCTGGGTTATGGAGGGGGCACAGCACTGTAGAGACATGGAGGACAAGAGAGTGCTGGAATGGGAAAATGTGCCTGCGTTACTTTAAATGACAATTGCACGGTCTGCACCCAAATGAAATTTATGACCTTTTTTTCCCACAAATTGAGCTTTCTTTTGGTGGTATTTGATCACCTGTGCGGTTTTTATTTTTTTTTGCGCTATAAAAACAAAGACCGACAATTTTGAGAAAAAAAACAATATTTTGGACTTTTTGCTATTATTAAACGTCCAGTAAAAAAAATTTAAAAATCAAATTTCGTCAGAAAATTAGGCCAAAATGTATTCTGCTACATGTCTTTGCTAAAAAAAAAATCCCAATACGTGTAAATTAATTGGTTTATGTGAAAGTTATAGCATCTACAAATGGCGGTATAGATACTGGGATTTTAAATTTTTTTTTAATTTTAACTAGTAATGGCGGAGATCAGCGACTTATAGCGGGACTGCGGCGGACATTCTGACACTGGGGGGAGCTGACTTGGTATCACTGAGATCCTCAGTGACACCAATACAGTGCTCAGTGCTAAAAAAAGCACTGACACTGTACTAATGGCACTGGGCAGGAAGGGGTTAACATCTGGGGCAATCAAAGGGTTAACTGCGTGCTGTTTTACTATGTGGGCTGTGTTTGTGTTTCACTGTAAGCACACTGCTTTGTATGGCTCTGCTTTGCTATGCAGAGCCATACAAAGACAGGGGAGAGATTTGTATTGTTTACATACAGGTCTCTCTCGCGTCAGAACTCCTCCGAGATTGCCGGGTGCCGGCGGGGAATCACCAACCAGGACCCGGTGATTGACAGCGAAGGCTGCGAATGGTGGCGTGCTTCCTACCCAGAACTGTGAAATCACATATATATACGTATTTCTGCTATAGGGTGGCGCGGAAACGGTTAAAGGGGTGCGGTGGAAACCCTAATGCTGGGTTATGGAGGGGGCACAGCACTGTAGAAACATGGAAGACAAGAGAGTGCTGGAATGGGAAAATGTGCCATGTTATAGGTAGGTTGCTACCTCACCCCTTTAAAACCGAACACACATTAATTACACAGGTTCTGGGGTTGATTAACCACTTCTCATCCGGCCCATGTATATAAATGGCTGGCCGGGAGCAATGCAGGGGCATCGGCATGCAACCTATACAGGGTGACACCGGACCCGCCCCACGAAAAGGTAAGTTGTAAATAAAGCCGTCGATCCCTGCAGGATGGTTCGGATCTGCAGATTGAGCATAATGGATCGGAGTCCGATCCATTATGCTCAATCCGCAGATCCGATCCATTCTGCGGGGATCGTCGGAGGAGGTGTCACCAAGTGTTATTGCACCGGGTGACACCAACCCTAGGGACGCCCCTGACATCATATAATGGCACATCAATCAAGCTCCGCCTCCATGGAGCTTGATTGATGTGACATCATTACGTTTTTGGCTGCCAGCTACTGCGCATGTGCTGAGTAGCCAGGCTCGTTTATGTGATTGCTGTTATGCTGTTGATGCTGGTGTCGGCTGGGACACCTCTTGAGTAAGTGCAATGAGTACCTAATAAAGGAATTGGTTTTTATAATATTGCACCATGAAGTCTTTCTGTTTCTCTCGAGTGCTTGGCATTTCCCCCCATGGATACGTTTGAAGGTGGT